AGCGGAGACCAGGACAACTAGATGAGCCCCAGATACAGATCCCCTGTAAAGACCTTGTCTCAGACGACCACCGGGACAAGACCACAGGAACCAGATGAGTCCTCTGCACAATGTGACTTTGCTGCAGCCTGAAATTGAACTGCTGGTTTTGTCTGGTCAGAGGAGAACTGGCCCCCCTGACTGAGCCTGGTTTCTCCCAAGGTTTTTTCTCCATTCTGTCACCGATGGAGTTTTGGTTCCTTGCCGCTGTCGCCTCTGGCTTGCTTAGTTGGGGACACTTCATTTCCAGCGATAACGTTGTCTTGATTGCAAATGATTGCAAAGATACTATTTAAACTGAACTGAGCTGGATGATGACATCACTGAATTCAATGATGAACTGTCTTTAACATGAAAAATGAGTGTTTACTATTGTCATTTTGCATTATTGACACACTATTTTCCTAATTAATGCTGTTCAGTTGCTTTGACACAATCTGTATTGTTAAAAGCGCTATATAAATAAAGGTGACTTGACTAATGTGGTTCAAGACAAACTGAATACTGGCTTGCCAAAACTTTGCAAGTTACACTAAAGTTATATAAGTCTGAGAGCTACTCGAAAACAGCACACAAAATCTGAACAGGCTGTAGCTCTGTGCCAAGTTGGCCGAATCTGATTTAAAGGCTTTAGGAGGAATTGTAGTCAGATGTGTTCACTGGGCATGCAGAAAAACCTAAACAGTTAGAAAAGGGGTCACTACTGTACCCAAACAGTACCATTTTTAAGGTATTTGCCAAGTCAGATGAATGCAACATGAAAACTTTAAGATGAGGATGATTAGAACAATAAACCAAATTTGTACAATAATTTTGTCAAGCCAGTATTCATTCATTCACTCAATGACGCACGCACGCACGCAATCACTCACTCACGCACGCACGCACGCACTCACTCACGCATGCACGCACTCACTCACCATGCACTCACTCACTCATTCATTCATTCATTAATTCATTCATTCATTCAGC